AAGGGGGGCACGGTGCCCCGGTGCCCTCCCCGTTCCGCCGCCTATGCCGCCGGCCATCCGGCTTCTACCACCTTAGTCCTCCCAACGGCACCCCTCCTCCCAACACACTGCTGTCTGCCCGTCAACCCTTCTCCGGCACTTCGACTTCATTCTGCCAACCTTACGCAGAGCCGGCTTCACAGGATCTACCGAGTATGTAAAAAGTAGTTATGCCACATCCTAGTGGGATGGAGACCCATTATGCGTGGAGTTGATACTCTTTGCTTCCACAGATCAAATCAACGTCGATCCCCTCTGTCAATAGCGGAAGGGAAGCCATCAACGGACACCTCAGTTCCATCTGTTCCGTCAGTTCCGGTGGGTCACAGCAGCTCCGTCACGCCGGACACCATAGGTCCCATCGGTACCACGAGCTCTGTCCAGCCACAGCAGCCCTCATGCCGGACACAAACCGCAGTCCGTGGCGGCGATTCACTGACATCCGCCCAGAGACGACAACGGGCAGCGGAACGGATCGCATCCCGACCGCCGACCGTCCCGAGCGCACCACGCCACTGCACCAGAGTGCAAATCGCGCAGCCGGCACAATATCCGTCATTAATCAGCGGAATTATCGGCTTCGGCTCTCTTCCGCCTGTGCGCTCCGCTAAGGAGTCGTCAGCGGCCTGGCCGCGTCCTGGAGAGCGGCGTCGCGTCCGGAGCCGGCCCGGCCATTCAGACGTTTCCAGGCCAATTATTCGGCGGCGCTCGTCTCGGGAAGACGCACTGGCGGCTCCGGCGCGCCCCCGCCGGCACAAAGCGCGCCAAATGAGCTGGCGCGGCGGGGGCGGCCGGCCGCGGCGCGCGCGCCGCTGGCTCCCGGCGGTAGGACCGGAGAGCGACAATGCTGAGCTGATTAAGTCGCCGAGCTGCGACTACCTGTCTGTCGGCGGGAGGGCGGGTGACGGCAGCACAGCGCCGACTACCACTGGTGGTAGAGCTCTCAGTCCTCTGTCACTGGGCATGGCGCGGCCCGACAGACGTTTTTACAGCGGTACAGCGGCTGTAGTGTCCACTGTCCACCCAGACAACGGGCTGATGAACAGGGACAGATGTATTGGGTACCGGACGAAGACAGAATGATGAGCTGGCACAAAGGTACCGGGCTGAGACAGCTGACTGAGAAGAGAGGAATGATGCAGTGGGTATGCTATTTCAAGACAGTGGAACGATTGTACCGGATATGGACAGTGGAATGATGGCGACTGAACGAACTGACGAAGGCAGTATGGTTCGTAGCGGCAGACTGGACTGATATACTGCAGTGCTGGCTGCTATAAGGGACTGACTATAAGGGACTGACACTGATGGCGCCGCTATGGTCCGAGCGACTCGGTCCCATGGCTGAATGGCAGCGGGGAGGGGGAGGGAGGCGCGGGTGGCGACGGGGACCTGTTCAAACCGACCCGCCGTTCCGCTGTCGCCGGTCCTAAATCAGCGCCGCATTCACACCCCTGCACGGCCGTCTTTCAGCACGGAGCGGTGCACCTCTTTCAGGGCGCGGCCCCGCCGGCCGACCCCTTCCATTGGGCCTTTCACGCGGCCTGTGGCGCCGGTCAGCTGACGCCGAGGCGGAAGGAACCGTCGGGGGGGGGGGGGGGAGCGTCGGGCAACGACAGCATCTGGGTCACTAGAGATGGGTCTGAGGCGTGGGCTGTCAGCTCCCCCGCTGAGGAAGGAAGCTCCACTGCAGACAAAAAAATCCTGACTAGCGTTTACCAACTTCATGACTGATACACAAGAAGAAGGAGGGACGAGCTGATAAGAAGACATTCTTCCGAATCAAATTATTTAACTGCGTCTAGTAGCTTGCGCGTTTTGAGAGAACGAGGCCTAATGAGTGAAAACCAGGACCAGAGCTTGATGCCACATTGCCTAATTAAATCTGACGACTGACGAGGTCTTTCTCCAACCTCCCTCCTCCAGTCATGCCCTGCGGTATGTTCCGCGCTGTCCTCCATCTCTGCTCCCGTTCTTTGATCCGACCAAGAATGTTTCATATGCGACACTGTTCAATGTCCTCTCCTCTATACTGCGAGTACAGAGGGGACGCAGCGATCGCAGGGAGGACGCCCCCGCGGGCCCATGTCGGGAGACCCGCGCCCAGGCCCCACTAATCGCTTCAAGACGCTCCTCGGCAAACAATGCAGCCCCGGAGGCGCCCGACCCGATACGATGGCCGATATTCATCAGACCTTTGATGCTGTCCCAATATGGTAAGCGGCAGCCGGGCGCCCGTGTGCCCTCCGATCAACTATTGGCGTCTGGTATGTGTGCGTAAGGCTCTATCTCAATCTGGCATCTCCGGCGCGGTGCGAGCAAAAACGGCGCACATTCGGCCCGTATCGACGGCGCGCCTGAATGCTCTCCTGCATTATTCGATGGTACAGCGCCATTATTCGTCTCTGCCGCGCCAGAATCGGAGCAGGCTACCACCGGAGCGGCGCTAAATACCGGCGCACAAAAACGGCGGCCGGCGCACGGAGCCCGGCGCTCTCCGACCGGCGGACCGGGCGGCGGGGTCACAAAAACCCGGCACGACCCGCGCCCGGCGGCCCGCTGCCGAAACAATGGACTCAGCGCGCAGGCTGACCCCCGCAGAGAGAAAAATCAGCACGTGTAATGAAGTGGGCCCTACGACGGCAGGCGGAGATGTAAAAATCAATATGCGGTTCCCAGGACGGTTTGGGTGACATTGAGAAAAGTCAACGGCTGTAAGAAATTGCATGCAGATTTCTTTTCGGAGTTATTTCACTCGGGCGGAATTCCTTTTCAGTGTATTCCCAGAAAGCAGCGTGAATAATTAACTGTTGATTGGGGCCTCCAGTCCCTGGGGATCCAATTATCAGCTACCGCCATGTGGTATGTTAAAAGAACCAATAATTGGCAAACACCGCATCACCTAACTAATATAAGGGGCAGAGCTAAAATGATTTTTCTCAAAGGTCAGAATCGGTCAGAACAAAACCTCGTGGCATGGTGATGAATTGGACGGGGGGTGGTCGGCGGACGGCACCAAAACCAACAGGGTCCCACTCGGGGGCCTTGTTTTTGGCACCTCCCGCTGGGCCCGCCCCGGAACGGAGGCCCGGCCCGGGCGGACACCTGTGGACGGCTGCCGCGAGACTCACGGCTCAGAAGACCTGTCTCCAGCCGTCATTGATCTCTGCTACCCTGATCGCCGACCAAATACACTGGCATGGTAACACCGCGAGAGACAACATGGTGCCAGCTTCGCGGGATCATGCAAAGCATACACATGCAGCCGAAAGTCCGGTTCCCCTAACTCTGTGTAAGGTCTAATGGGCCCCCATGATTTAAACCGATACGCTGGTCTTTGATGGTCCATATAGATTAGGGCCGAAATTCCCCTTTCCGATAGCGTGCGTCCATTGTCGGCGGGGTAAATATTGGCCCGATAGCGACCCGGCGCTGTTGGACAAACTCCGGCGGGGCGGCCTGGAGCCCGTGCCGGCCGGCGGGGAGCCGCATTGTTTTAGAATTGGCCGTCCGATCCCCGCCGGTCAGTGTCCATTCTCCTCACCAGGAGAGAACTGTCCCCCACCGTCACTGAAAACAGCGCGGGGCGGAACGGACCGGCGTCCGTCCGTACCCGGGGAGTCCGGCGCAGAGCTCGGTCAGGCACGTGCGACGCGCCGCCTCCTCACAAACCCCACAATTGCTCGCCGCTGTACCCCCAACCGAGAGGCAGCCGCACCAAACAAGGAGCTTGAAAGAAGCCGCCTCTGTCAAATTGAAACGTGACATTTAACAGACGATTTTCGACATTTGAGGTTGAGGAGTATTTGTTTCAAGCCACCTTCTGACTGCTGACTGCACCTGGGATGGAATGTTTCTGGTAAACGGATTTTCCCATTACCTACATTTCGTCGAAATAATTTGTGGTTTGGTGATGTGCGCATCACGCGCAGCTGGTTGGTATTCGCGAGGCCCATTTCGAAGTTGAGATATGCCACTCAAAGAATGCGACTGTTATTTCACGCATGCTGTTTTACTGATAAGTGATAAGTCCTTAGATGTACTAGCTAGCAGCACTTATGTGACTAGTGAATGTTGATGAGCTCATCATCTATGCATCTATGCCAAAGCGTGTCTTGTAACACATAGATATCCGCTACGAGCACTGAGTGATAGCGTTCCTAGAAACATAACATTTCAGCTACGGCAAATAAATGACTTAATGAACAGAAATGTTGACATTGAACAAATGTATATCAACAATCAACATCATCACAAAGCTGAAAGTTGTGGGTGAGATATGTGAGTGATTCTTGCCGACAAAGTGGTCCTGTCGATTGCATGGTTCTGTACTTTCATCCAGTTGCTATGACGTTTAGTGGACCATAACCTATAGCATTTCAAGGAAAACGAATGCCAGACTTTTACAAATAGTCGTGAAAAACAGAAACAGATCAAGCAATGCTTGTGGTCTACTTGTTCTTTGTGGACAGGGTAAAGCGACGCATTATCTAATCTGCGGTCTGAATCCCGAAACAAAAGCCAAAAGACGGGTCAGACATGTGGCCTGCTAGCCTTTACTCTAAGGACCCAAGCGAAACAACGCGCCATGTCTGCTGTCTTCTCTGGGGCACTGGGCCTTTCAAGGAGAGCGCCGGGATTATCCGGTGTTGGCTGGATGTATCGTATTCGCGGAGACTGTGCCAGGCGCGCCGCCCGGCCCGGACGGTAAAGGGTCGCCTCAGGTTCAGGGGAGGATCGGCCCCGGTCCAGACACAAGGGTGCCAGAGGAAAGGGCCGGTTTCTGGCCACACACGGCCCGTGCTCCATTGTGTCTGACCATTTAAACTGCCCCATTGGTGGGCGTCCCTGTGTTCCACCCCCGGCCTTTTCAGACACGAGCGGCGCCCATCACGCCCCCTTACCCGCTGACCCAGCTGACACTGTCCCGGCATCGCGAGCCGTGTCGGTCGGCATCTTACCTTATCGCTGTCAAAACTTCAGGTGTGAATTTACGATGAAGCTTGTACGTTTTCAAATTGACACCTGAAAGAAAATAAAAATGTGCTAAGCATAATCAACATTTGACTGGTAACGCATTTCGTAACGCATGGTGACAGCGCAGTTCAAAGTTAAAAATCATAAGGAATTACATAAGGCTAACGCAATACCGGACGCAGAGTCAGCATATAGCTTGAGAAAATGCCACATGTCAGCCTTATCACATGATTTCAGAATCATCTTCCACCGAATATGCGCGTTTTCAGCTGAGTCCCGGTCGCTTATGTAATGTGAGCCGTATCTGTGTGGCTTCACAGGGGGCACTTCTCCCACGGCAGGTTAGATACTGAGGTGATTTGACGCGCCGTGGGTCGTCAGTGCGCCACTCTCGTCTCAGTCATCGTCCCCTGCACATCCCACAACATGGGGTTCCGGGCCATCCCCCTGCTGCTGCCGCTGCTGGCCGTGTTGTCAGACGCACTCATTCTCCTGCCTCCAGAGACGCCTGGCGTCAATGACACGGCGCTGATCATCGTGCAGGGAGCGGACGTCTACCCGGAGCAGTACCGCGCGCTGGGGTGGGTTATGGGACAGTGTACCGCGCATTGGGGCGGGTGTACTGGGTACTGGGATCTCCCAGTATGGTACTGGGATAGTGTAAGGGGACAGTGTACTGGGAGCAGACGTCTACCCGGAGCAGTACCGCGCACTGGGGTGGGTAATGGGACAGTGTACCGCGCACTGGGGTGGGTGTACTGGGTACTGGGATCTTCCAGTATGGTACTGGGATAGTGTAAGGGGACAGGGCACTGGGAGCGGACGTCTACCCGGAGCAGTACCGCGCACTGGGGTGGGTAATGGGACGGTGTGTCACGAGTAGGGATGGGCAATGGGGTCTAAAGGACTGTACTTACAAGTTAAAGTAGGTATACAACAATTTTGTAGCAGTAATCATAATGATCCGCAGCACTCGTATATGCTCCAGGACTTTGGTGTGATTAGTCAAGTGCCTGTTACCGTTTACCACCCTCTAAATTGAAACGTCTCCTGCGCAGGTTGGCGATTCAGAGCGCCACGTCCATCTCGCTGTGGGTGGCCATCCCGGAGGGGTTCGTGGGCAACTACCCGAATCCGGTGCAGCTGCCCGCTCTGGCGACCGACGCGCTGGCGCAACTCGCGGACGCCGGGATGCCGGTGGACGCCCCCGTCTTCCTCTCCGGTCACAGTCTCGGCGGCATCGTCGTTCAGGGTGAGCCCGGAGCCGCCAGCCATCACGTCTTTCAGGCAGCCAGTCAGTCAGTCGGTCAATCAGTTAATCAGTAAGTCAGTCAATTAGCCAATTAGTCACTCAAACATGAGTCAATCAGCAATCAGCGAAGCACGTCCGTCCGTTTTTCAAGCGTCTGTCCGTTTGTTCCTGTATCCGCTGTCCGTCTGCATGAACAATTAGAGCCTTCCTGTCCTTTTTCCAGTGTCATCTGTCCCTTTGAGTCCACGTATGTATGCAGTCAGTCTATTCGTCTATTTCTCTCTATATAATGTGCCCGTTCCTGCGTCCATATATCACTTATGACCGGTATATTCTGTTTCTTATGCTCTTGCAGGTTACGCCGAGGAGCAGGCGGACTCGCTGGCCGGCCTGCTCATTTTCGGCTCGTACCTGACCGACCGGCCGCTGGCCACGTTCCCCATGCCGGTGCTGCACCTGGTCGGCACACTGGACGGAGGACAGGCGCGGCCCACACGCATGTCAAAGACCTACTCCGAGCTGGTGGCGCTCCAGGTATTGAGATGTTGTGTTGTTGGTGGCGTAGGTCGTAGGACGCGTTGCCTTGAATACACATTACACATGATGATGTGCTGTTATAGACTAAATGTTTTCGGACCTGAGGTCATATCTATGGTGTCTTTGTTGCATACCCTTTGACATAATGTTCTACCGTTGCTTGTTTCCAGGCTGAGGACGACTCGGCCAACCTGCTGAAGCCGGTTATTCTGCTGGAGGCTGTGAACCACGCTCACTTCTTCAGCGGCGAGATCCCTCCGACGGTGGCCGCCAACGACATTCTCTCGGAGCTGGACGCCGACGAGGCCCGGGTGATGATCGGCGAGCGCTGCGCCGCTTTCCTGGCCATGAAGTCTGGCGGTGCCGACGAGGCGTCCCGCCGCCTGCTGGTCGACGATTACACCGCGACGGGCGAGTACCTGGCGCCCCTGTACGATCTTCAGGAACAGGAGGCCGACAGCGACGACCGCTCGCCCTGGGCTGAGAAGGCGCAGCGGTACATGTTCAACGTGCTGGACGAGTCGGTGACGGTGGACATCCAGAGCTACCACATCGCCAGTCTCAGTGATCTGGAGCACGAGCACAACCAGTTGAACATCACCGGCGAGCGGTCGGCCGATCTATCCATCTTCTCCTCTGTGGAGTTCCCTCTGGATCCCGTGGACGCTGCGCCGGGGCCGCACGCCAGCTCCGAGCTGGCCGTCAAGATGGTCTCCCAGGAGCTGCTGGCCGCCAAGTTGCCGGTAGGCCAGTTCGGTGACGTCCGCTCCTGTGCTGACGTCAATCAGATGACGCTGGCGGCGGCGGTGGAGGCAGCGCCGCCGGCGGCTTTCGAGCGGTACCAGCGGCGCGGTCTGCCGGTCACTTACCTGGAGGACCACCAGGCCGGCGCCGGTCCCCTCTGGGTCCAGGAGAGGCTGCGGCTTCACTACAATGAGGACGGTCTCGAGATACAGTCGGTCGCCATCAAGACGGCGCCCGATTCCATTTTCTACGGCGGCAGCAACTACTGCAAGCTGCTGTCGCCGACCCGTGCGCTCGAGTACGTGCTCATTGACAGTCTGAAGGGCACACAGCCCTAGGGCGCCAACTGCTGCTAATGCCAATTGTAAAGTGTCATTGTGCTATTGCACGAATCACCTCCAGTGCGATGATATTTTGTAAGATAAGTTATTCATTTGTCAAAGTCATGGGTCTGTTTTGTATATAAAATATATAAAATGTTTTCTAGAAATAGATATGTGCCCATGTGCCGTCGCTACCAGAGTGTAATAAACGTCCAAGGAATGAATAATTTAATTTGCGGTATTTATAGTGCTTTGTAGAGTAAAATCTTAATACCCTATCCAATCAGGGCCCGTAGGAAGGAGACTGCTCTTCTCCTTCCGGCCCTCATCTCCCCCTTACCTGTCGGAATGGCGCGCCGATATGGTATGGCGCCAGCCACAGAGGCGCGGAATGTAAGGCACGCACCTGGCGAGCGACCCAGACCCCTGCCGATCGCCCCAGTATGCCACCCCGAGTGTTTATTTCCTGGTGGGAGTGCTGCTTCCTGTCGAGTCTGTCAGTCCGGCCTACTGACCGACCCGGAGTGTACTCCGGGCTGTCCATCACGCCGGCGCCAGCTCCATCGGTATGAGGTATCACTCGACCGACCCTGAAAGCTGGTTAAATACCCTCTGTTGGTTCTATGGTGTCGTCTGCCGACGCAGTGCTCTGCTCCAGACAGCCTGACCCACAGCTGACCCGAACACAGAGCAGTGGCGCCGGATCTCCCGGGTCGGACCCCCTGAGAGTGAGAGGGGGGAAGGGGTTCGCCGGCTGCTGAGGGAGCAGAATGGAATGCGGCGAGCAGGACAGATCGTGTGGCGATGCCGGCCAATTACAGGTGGTCCTGCCACGCCGCCGGCTGGGGGTCGGTCGCCGGTCGACCGAGGACAAACATGTTTTCGGCCGGCCGGACAGTGGTCACCGGCGTCTGGGCGGCAGGTCGGCGGCACCGACCGGTCAACTGAGCAAACACCGGCCGCGGCCCGGCCCCCATTCAGCCCTTTAAGCGGCGCCCAATCGGTGACCCGGCTGTCAGGCCGGCCGACCGACAAAGGCGGCCGGTCGCGCCCCCGTTCGGAGCCACTGGAGCAGCAGGGAGCCGCGCTGGCCGGCGGCTGTTTGCGCTGACCGGGCCCCGGTCACCGGCCGGCCTTTCTCAGCGCCCAGTGGGACGTGACCCGGTACATTCAGCCAATTGGCCGCGCAGAATGTCGCCCAAATTGGTGGGAAACGGGGCGCGCCCTCAAAGGGTTGGCCCACGGGCGGCCCGAGCCGCCTTCTCTGGTTTCGGCCCCCGCTTTGTGCCGGTTCGGCGCGCTGGTGTTCGCTCCCGCACCTCGGGTCGGCGCGGGACGATTTATCGCGATAAATCGCAGCCGGACGCGGTTCGCACGTGAACTGATCACAATCAGCGCCACCGCCGGCTGTGTGCACGGCCTATTCTCGGCGACCCGACAGCAAAACTGCAGATCGGAAGACCACAATACCGGCACAGAACAAGGGAGATGCACCTCACACTTTCAGACGTGGACGTTCACACAAGATGAGAACGGTACGAAGGGCTCACACGGCTCAGTCGCTCGTGCTTTAGTTGTGTCGATCTTGTATGTCTGAGTTGTTCTTGTATAGCATGGCAGTGGGAACCAATAGATTCACAAATCGCTAACAACCTTTTGTGGATAGTTCCCCTTTCCTGAGGGAGAACGAGAAGCTATGTTGTAATGGTATAGATCAGGTACCATTTTGACTGATACGAAGCGCACCATAAAAGCTACAACATACATGCATAGGGGAGAGTGGGGTAAGATGCCCAGGGTGGGAAAGACGCCCCACCCCCTCTAGCGGGGAAACAAAGAATCGAACCTGGAAATTAATGTTCTTAGCGTAAAGCGGAAGCATGCCTTGTTAACTGCACATAAATTTGCGAAGCTCAGTTGGGCAACGGCTGGCTGGTGATTGCATGTTTTTTATTCGCTGCTTTCAAAAAATATTTTGGCGTCAAAACATTGTAAATATCAAAGAAGGTAGATAATTTTTGCGTCCCTTGCTATAGTCGTGATACATTAACATGCGTGTACTGTGTCCCTAACAGTTTGTTTCAGGGTGTAGTTTTATGGCTAACAAATTGTGATGATTTAATGTTACTTCGGTACCTTGGGGTAAGATGCCCCCTGTCCTGATGGGGAAAGACGCCCCCCTAAATCCGTAGGCTGTCCTTCAAGCAGCCCGTCAAATCATTTATTACATACTTGTGATGAGAGACAAAAGCCGATCTGGGACTATTGAGAGTCCGGTACGGTCGAGTGCTCCCCATGCCGGTCTCTCGGCCCACACAGCGACTTTTTGGGCGGCATCTGACTCTGAGAGCCCTCACGACGGCCTCTGTGGGCCCCATTATTGGTTCCAGGGCCCTTCACGACATCCTTTGAGGGCTCCCACGTTGGCTCCACGGGCCGCGCGGGCATCTGAGGTCCCCACGATGGGCTCGAGGGCCCTCAAGCATCATGAAGGGCCCCACAGTGGTCTCCGAACGCCACCACGGAGGCTTGTTTGGCCACGCTGGACTATGATGGCCCTAACGATGACCTCTGAAGCCCCTTACGACTACTTTTGAGGGCCCTTACGATGACGTTTGGTGTCTACTGCAGGCTCGAAGGGACTACTGATTCGTTCAGGCGATTCACGTGCCTATTTATGTCACTTATAGTGCAGGGGGGCATCTTACCCAACGCCAGGGGGCGTCTTTTCCACCCTGTGGGGTAAGATGCCCCCTTTCACTTCTTCAGGAAAATGCTTAATAGCAAAAAAAGTTATCATATTTCATGCACGAAAGTGTGATATTTTTGGAGAAAAATGATGTCGGCTTCCGTTGAAACTCCAAGTTTTGGCTTTCCGATCGTCATTTTCGAATAATATATGACATAGTCAAACCCTGGGCATCTTTCCCCACTCTCCCCTACCATGCGACGCCTTGCTGCGTCTTGTCAAGATGCAAGAGAGGTAAGTTACGGACAGTTAAGGTTAGCGGCTCAGTGGCCTGCACTGACCTGGATAGACCGGTTTGGAGAGGTGCTGTAGAATTAGTCACGGTGCATGGCTGAATGCTACCAGCTCGGCTGCACGCGCTGTTTTACACGGCTGGCTGCTCCAGAGGTGACGACAACACCAATGCTGTCGTCGATCACTCATCGTTCAACGGAACCAATCAACAAGTCGCCGGTCTGGAAAACAATGCGCATCACTTACGAGTGATTCGAATTGGTTTTGACGAACGAGCATGTTAGTAGATTAACTAACGTCTTTTTTACGCTATAGCCTGTCACGCATTAATCACTTAGCCCTTGCCGGACCTATCAGTTTCTTACGCACTCGGCAATACACGCATAGCTGATAGCACCCCGGCAGACGGGGAGCAAAGACGGGTACAAATCCCCTTGTCGAGTGGCCTCTTCGCGCCCCGCTGGGGGTCCTGGATTTCCACACCCTGCTGGGGGGAGGGGTGTTTGAAGTTTGAACACCCCCCCTTCTAACTCGGCCCCTGGGCCACGTAGCGACACGGGAAAGACGACGTTCGAAAGAACGGCAAAAATAAGGAAGAAATTACTTCGCTTACTGTTTTGGCCAGGTTAAAGGTCAGGTCACCGACACCAGAGGTTATTGAAGGCAAAAATTCGCCGATTTCCAGGTCGAATTTCGACAGTTTTCAACAAATCGACGTACCTACAGCTCGGAAACTAATAGAGCTACAGCGCCGAGGAAAAGCGCATTTGATAGTCCTATTACCGCTTTTTCTGTGTACCTAATTGTCTCAGATTTGACCTACTGTCAACGGTTTTGTCTGCAGGGGGCAACTGTAAAAAAGACGATGTTTTTTGGGAAAGTTTTTCTGCAGTACCTTTTGACAAAAACGTTGCACGAACATTCTTTTACCAGCATTGTATTTCTCTCGTCAAGACGCATCGATTGAACTATGATTTGACCTTGAAAGGTCAACTTGAAAATTTGACCCTAATTTGACTTGAAATTTGTCAAGGTCATGACTTGACCGGTAAGGTTCATGTTGCAATCAGTCGATCCGTATGTTCGAGCCGAACACAACTAAAGTGGAAACAGCGGAAAAAACGAGCACGTTGGCCGCTATGAGAAGCAGCGACTGGTATCCAATTTTAAAGTCTCAGGTCAGCCGGTGACCTCTGGGGTCAGGTCAAGTACGAAGTAGCCCAAGGCACATGATCGGTTTTTCATAAAAAAGGCTTCGCCAAGGACGGCCGCAGAGCCGCGATTTTGGCATCATCGTGCTCGCCTCGCTCAGGAGCGTCGACCGTTTTTTTTTTTGTTCGAACAAGGTCAACATAAAGTGTTGACCTCGGTCAAGGTCAGGTCAGAGCTCTCCAGGTTACGAAGTTGGTCGAAAGAGGTCATATCGCACATCATTCAATTTGGCAGGTCTTCTCGAGTCCATTGGTGGTTTTGCCGACTTGCTAGCTCAATTTGATCGCGAGTTGTTGACGAAAAATTCTTATGGCCCTAGTGAGCCATAAATGACGTCACGCAAGGTCAACAATGCAAAAGTAAAGTATCGGACCTTGCAAGGAGTGCATGAAATCACGATTCTACTGTGTGTTTGAGAGTTGAGATAGTTTGGGATCGTTCCCGGCGCCAAAATAGCAGTTTTCATTATGTGGGTTAGGCGACCTGTGAGGCCAGTTAAGGTTACGTTCTGGTGAAAAAACCCAGTTTTTTTTTGCGATAGCTCCGAACACGCTTGCAATAGAGAGCTGAAACTTGGCATACCTGACCTTTGATTCAAGCCGGATCTTTTGACACCAACCGCATTTTCGGGTCAGGTCAGGTCACTGACCTATGACGTCATAAGTGAACCTCTGCACGGTCTTCAGATGTTGCAACTTCGCAACGCCCTCACTGCCAGAGGAGCTTTCACAGGGAAATGAAACTTGCAGGATCTAGTATCCATTCTAAGTCTCACAACTTGTATATCTCGGATTTTTCCTAAAGGTCATATGAGGTCAAGTCATTTACGTGACCTCACCATTAGGTATACCTAAGTCAATGGGGAAAAATGAAAACTGCTATTCTGGCGCCGGGAACGATTTCCAACTATCTCAAGCACACAGAATCGTGATTTGATGCACTCCTTGCAAGGTTAGATGCGTCACTTTTGCAATGTTGACCTTGCGTGACGTCATTTATGTCGTCATCAAGGTCATATTAGTTTTTCGTCAATAACTCCCGATCAAATTGAGCTAGCGAGTCGGGAAAACCACCAATGGACTCAGGAAGACCTGCCAAATCGAATGATATGGCGACATGACCTCTTTCGACCAGCTTCCTGACTTGGGGGGCGCTGACCTGACCTTGACCTGAGGTCAACACCCTAAGTTGGCCTGACCCAAACAAAAAGTATATCATTCGACGCGCCTGAGCGAGGCGAACACGATGATGCCAAAATCGCGGCTCTGCGGCCGTTTTTTGCGAAGTTATTCACCAAAAACTGAACCGTACCTTGGGGCACTTGACCTGACCTCAAAGGTCACCGGTTGACCTAGGACCTTAAAATCGGGTACCAATCTCTGCGTCTCGTAACGGCACACACACTGTAAAAATGCTAACAAATCAAGCAAAATCTAGTATTAAAACACACGTTGTTGCAAAAAACGGGTCAGATAACACATATGTTTGCAACCTAACACCACATCCATTTCATCGAATGACATATAAACACTCGGTGCACACATCAGTATACACACAGACACACAGACATACAAACACATATAATTGACCTTGACCTAGCTTGACCTGAAATGACCTCAGCAGCAAAAACCTGGTCGGGTAGTGTGACAAAGAGGTTCTAGCTGGCTTGGCACCAGAAAACAGCATCATCATCGGTATATGATAAGCAGCGCACTTGATGTCCAACGGTGACCCAACACAGCAACATTTTTTTAGTTTGACCTGACCTGGAAGGTCAATGACTGATCTGAGAAGGTAAAACTGGGTATCATTGGATTCGTCTCTTCCCAAAGAATCTTTTTGGTCTTTACCGCTAAGCTCTATCTCCAACAGGAACGAAATGGAGCGGGGGGTGGCACCCCCCCCCCCCATGTGCGTTCTAGCATAGGCGTAGGAACAGGGGGGGCCAGGTGTGCAAGTGCCCACCCACTTTTCGAGGTGGGGGGCCAACCATGTGTTTTGGCCCACCCACTTTTTACTCGAGGCCCCTCGTTTCGATTTGAGAGGACGTCGTCACCTTCCAGAATAAACAAACTCGGTAAAAATAAGTTCCACGAATCCCCACGCACGGACTCCAAGGGGCCGTGATGGATCCAAGGAGGCCCTCTGTTCATACTTGTCAGTCGAAGCCCCTGAGACTGATGGCCTGAGAGGCCCTAGTGGATCTGAGGAGGCCCCAATATCCACACTGGTCTGGGGAGGCCCCTGACACTGGCGGTCTGGGAGGCCCCTCTATCCCTCTATCCACACTAGTCAGAGGTCTGAGACTGGTGGTCTGGGAGGCCCCTCCATCCACACTAGTCAGAATAGGCCCCTGACACTGGCGTTCTAGCCGAGGCCCCCTACCCTCACTAGCCAGAGGAGGCCCCTCTATCCTCAATAGTCAGAAGAGGCCCCTGAGACTGATGGTCTGGGAGGCCTATCCATCTACACTGTAGTCTGTAGTCAGAGGAGGCCCCTGAGACTGATGACCTGAGAGGCCCTTATAATCACAGCAGGCAGAAGAGGCCCATGAGACTGATGGACTGAGAGGCCCTTCTATTCATACTGGCCACAGGAAACCCCCAAAACTTTCGGTCTGGGCGGTCCCTCAATCCGGCACCAGTCAGAAGAGTCCCCTGAGACTGATGGTATGAGAGGCCCTCATATTAACACCAGTCAGAAGAGGCCCCCGAGGCTGATGGCTGTGACTTGTGAAGCCCTTCTGTTCATATAACTGGTCACTGGAGGCCCCTGAAACCGGTGGTCTGGGAGGGCCCTCTATCCAAACTAGTCAGAAGAGGCCCCTGAGACCGATGGTCTGAGAGGCTCTTATATTCATACTGGCCACAAGAGGCCCCTGAGACTGATAGTCAGAGAGCTCCACTACTAATGAAACTGAGGGGGCCCTATATACACATTTACACTTTTCTAGGGAGGCCCCCGAAACTGATGGTCTGAGAGGCCCTTTTATTTATACTGTCCACAGGAGCCCCCTGAGAGTAATGGTCTGAGAGGCTCTTCTATTTATACTTACCAGAAGAGGCCCCTAGGATTGATGGTCTAACAGGCCCTTCTATTTATACTAGCCAGAGGAGGCCCATGAGACTGATTGGCTGAGAGGCCCTTCTATTCAAACTAGGCAGATGAGGCCCCTGAGAATGATAGTCCGAAGAGCCATGCGGCGGCAACTGGCCGTGGCCATATTTCGGCTCGGTAGGGCCCCCACAGAGCTCATGAGAGTACCCCAAGGGCTCCTGAGTAGACACGCTTATCCCCATAAGGGTGCCACGCCGGCTTCTGAAGGCTCCTTGTAGGCATCTAAGGGCCCTTTCCGGCCTCTAACGACTCCACCCGCCTGTGATGGCTCCACACCAGTGTTTATGAGCGCCACACAGCGGCGCCTTTGAGGGTCATAGTTAGTGTCTCTTAGGGCCCTATATCGGTGGCTCTGGGGGCCCCACACCGGCGCCTCTGTGGGCCACCACACCTGTTCATCTCAAGGCTCTATAACAGCCCACCGCTAAAGTAATGTGTGGTTTTACCAATCTCAACGGATGGCTTTGACCGACGATTTTTAAATGCGGACTTATTGTCAATAGATACGTCAATAGACGTCAATAGATAGAGACGTCAATAGATAAAGTTGTAGCTGCAAGGGTGAATATACATGTAAGCTACATTTAAAGTCTCATTGCAGTCTGGCTAATCGTTCCTAGGCTTCAGAAGCAGAACATACCCATGACTGAAACCACACATTACTTCTGCTGTGGACTGTACATCTGAAGGACCCACACCGACACCTCTGAGGGCCCCACACCAGTATCTCGGAGCTCTGAAGGCCACACACCGGTGACTCTGAGGACACACCGGCTCCTGAGAGCACCATGTTGATGTCTAACGGCTCCACAAGGCTACTGAAGGCACCACACAGGCTCTCACTGAGCTCTAATGTCCATGTACCGGCCTCTGAGGGATTGAAGCCAGCGCATTCATAGCTCCACACCAGCAATTGTAAGGGCTTCACACTGAAGTATCTGAGAGTTCCACACCGGTGTCTCTAAGGGCCACATACCGGCATCTCTGAGGGCCCCATACCGGCGTCTCCAAGGGTCCACATCTGGCGGGCACCCATCAGCGACTGAAGGTCCCACACTGTCGACTCCGAGAGCCCCATCTGCGTCTGGGAGCAACATGCCGTCTCTAAGAACCATAGCGGCTCCTCCGTCGAAAGATGGGCGTCTGCATGCCAAAGGGGAGCGGTTCTGAGACAGTAGGGCACCTACGTGCAATAGAGGGGCGCCTATGAAGCCCTAAGCTAGGGGCGCCTCAATGCGAAAGAGGGGTGCCTCTGAGGCCTACATATATGGGCGTCCACATGCAATAGAGGTCTGCAAGACTGCAATTGATCAATGCCATGGGGGTGCATTCATAAGGAACAGGGGCGCCGGCATGGCAAAGAGAGGCGCCTTCAAGTGTCCATAAAAGAGAGATGCCTATGATAAGCGCACATTGTATGCGACAATGGGGCGACTGTGGGACATATAGGGATGTCTCACTCTCTGATGACTCGTATACATAGGGCGCTTATAGGTATGCCAAAGAGGGCGCCTATGAAGCTAATGGGGGCACCTGGGAAATGAGGAAGACATTTGTGTAAGGGTTTTCAGGGGTCATGCGCCGTTTGCGGCAAATAGATTCTAAAAAAAAAAAATCGGAGGGGGAATAAGTTTTAAAAATGGTGCGGACTTTCCGCACTGTTCGCTTAAGCGGTTACGCCCCTGGGTACATCTGCCCGATCTCAGAAGCTAGATTTGGAGGTCATGCTTGAAAGCAGCCAGCAGGACGAGGCAAAAGTTGGAGGCCCCTGAAAATAGGAGGCCCCCTGGAAAAGGAGGCCCCTTGACAGGGTGGCCCACCCACTTTTCATGACGTTCCTACGCCCGTGCGTTCTAGGATGGGAAAATGGCATGTGCGGACGATGGTTAAGCCCGGTACCAGGGTCGACTCGAATTCGGTCAGCATGTAGCACCAGCGTTGAGCGTGGGCCAAAGCCTTGGGCCAAAGCATGCGTTCTTACCAGATCAAATTTCGGACAGCTGCAAGGCCGGCGGGGCTGCTGATGAGCCGCAGCATCAGTCGGGTCAGGTCGCTCGGGTCCGGGGTCACCACATGACGTTTCAGCTTCCTCACCGCTTGTTTAGCGCCCTCGCTTTACTTGGCGCCCTCTATCACAAGGCTTAGCGCACCATCTACCGACAAAAATTGAAATGACGTTTTTCGACCTTCCGTTTGTCTTTTGTGCGCTGAAATTGCCTAGATTCTGGCAACTTTCCAAAATACTGTGGTCTATTTACTGCGTTTTACCACGTGATACGTGAAGTAGGTATATGATCAATTCGCACATTTAGTTTATATTTTAAGCAATTTTGTCATCTAATAACATACAGTATTTGTTTAATTACAGTTTTAAACAATGTCTTTTGAGTTGTATATCTTTTTTTAGGGTAAATCGTGAAATAGGTGTCATGTGATTACACAAGCGAATTGAATGCAAATCGCCCGAGGGTTCCTCCAGCTGTTCCTCCCACTTCCACTTCCACTTCAACTTCGTGTGTTGTGCTGTATTATACGTGGGCTTGGAGTATTTGGAGAGAGTGTAGGTATGTGGGAAATATTTTTGAATATGGTTATTCAGAAGTAGGCAATTCACTTGACTTTTGCCATTTTTACGATACAGATATTCTGCCATAAACCATTCTATGATAGGTAGGTATGCTGTGGTTGTTTTTTTTTACTTTTGTTTATGTTGATATTTATATGTAATTCCTCATTCTGGCTTGGATTGATATAACCAGATATAACTTTGTGCTAAATTATCATTGTTGCAGTTCCATGTGTATCATCAATTATGCATTTTTATTTCTAAGTTACAATGCTACCTAGTGATATGCACTGTTATGTCAGTGTCTTTTCAGTTCTTATATACCGTGGTTTATTCCATAATTCCTCATCCTGTGCTGTCCTCAGTCCTGATACCTTAAAGGAAATAGTTCACTTTCACGAAATTATTTTTTTTTGCAACGGATTTATGATTTTTTATGTTCAAAATAATCAGCAAAGAAAATAAAACCTTTTTATACCAAAAGATTATTTTCTATATTTTGATATAGGAAGAACTTTTCAGTTTCTGTAAGGCACACGCGATCCAGTATGAAAAGAGCATGGGTCCCGAAAATTCTTCAGAAACAGAGAAATTATCGCAGCCACCGGCATTTGGGCGATCTGATAATGTTCCCCTGAATGTCCTAATTGATCAGTACGAGAATTTCTCTAGAGTTCTCGTAGATAATTTCTCTACTTTCTGAAGAATTTTCGGGACCCATGCTCTTTTCATACTGGATGGAAATATATGCAAGGCACACATCCTCAACGCAAGACACCTTTTTCGGGACGAGAAATAGAATATCTTTGCCTAGGATGATCATTGGGCTGTAAAAGCTCCTGATTTATGCTCGTCTCAGCCCAAGCTACGGAACTGCTATTCCAGTTCAAAACCCATGTTAAAAAGTGAACTATTTCCTTTAAACATGACAGCATCACCGTGGTGAAGTATGCAAATATTGGATCCTTGGACTGTGTTTACTATTCAATGCAATTCAGTAGGTGGAACTATGGTCATGAGTACCCAAATATAGGAACGTTCCCATTTTTGGGAACGGAGTTCCTAAATATGGGAACGGGCGTTCCCATTTACGGGAACGGAAGGTAATTTTTCGGCCGTTCGCCCACTAAAACTCATTAGTGCATCACGTCTCAAAAAAGTGCACGCTAATTTAAGTATCTACTGAATCTCTATAAAATTATCTTTAATCTGACCGTTGAACAAGGAAATTGACCGTTGAATGATATTTTTAATGATTTTTTTGAAATGACGGAATGGTGAAAACATGGGTTATACTACATTTAACATGCAATTTAAAGGAAAATGAAGCGTTTTTTACATTTTGAGGTCAAGTATAATAATTTTTGCCTGGTTATGAAGTTTCATACTAGCGACACCAGATGCCACTATGCATCTACGACACCAATATGCAAGCGAACACGCGGACAGTCCCGAGGTAATATTGTTGACTTTTGGTCTCGGGGCGCACGACCGCGTGGAACGTCAGTGATTTTACCGAACTACTGTTGTAAACTCAGTTTCAGTGGTTTAAAATTATTCAGCTGTATTTTATCAGCCCGGAAAGACATATTTTATTTGGATGCTAGCTGTTTAGCATTGTTTTATAAGGAGCGTCATGAGCGTGGTTTTTGTCTTTCGTGTTTCTAAGCATGATCGTTTTGGGGGAATTTCTCTTATATAGGTCGCTCTGTGGGGCTTATTTATAATTTTTATGCTGATTTCGATCATTCCTCGTGCCCATCCTACCAGGCCTTTTGCCACTTACACTCATTAAGAAAGGAAAAAACTAGATTTTCCATGGGACTAGGTGTTTTGAGGGTGTAACATATTCAGCGTTCCCATTTTTGGATACTTCCTTGTGCTCGTCAACTATCGGTGATAAACAGACAGGTGCTTGACATGTCTCCACCCTCGGCGCGGACGGTGGATATAGGTATGGAAGACCTTGTTGAACATCGCTGAGCGTTGTGAATTACGTAATCCTGCAGAGGGGGGCGTGCCCGCTGCAAGATCGACGGGAATAAAAGCGCAGAAGACCGGGCGAAACATGCGACGGTCTTGCCGGAAAGGTCATCTGATGATTGTTGCTTAACAATAATTTGCGGCGTTGGACATGATGCTTGTTAATGAAAAGAGCCCCTGAAAGGCGTCGGTGAAATCGTTCCCAATTTTGGGTACGCCGTTCCCATAATAAGGAACGCTTGCAGCGCCAGTGTACGAGAGCGTTCCCAAATTTGGGTTCGCGGCCCGGATGATGGACTGCTTTAGAAATAGGGGAACGATTTGAAACTACGATGGGCCTTACAATATCAAACTCTTTCCCAACAATATTGAGACAAATATCAGGCGGTTCACGATCGTTTTATATTTTTTGGACGTCATTTAACGGTTCTTTTTCTTGTTTTAAATAATGCCTACATGGCGTTCCCATATTTGGGTTTATCGTTCCCAAACATGGGAACGAAAATGCGTTCCCGAAAATGGGTACGCTTGACCATAGTTCCGCCTACTGAATTGTTAGCAAACCTTTAACATTGAATAATGCAGTGTCATACTTTCAAGAGGGATTCCAGTAAAATATTTTTGCATCAGTGAGTGGTCTGCATTGTAGACCATAATTAAAAGTTTGTACTTTTTGACCCAACGGCAACATATAAATTCAATTATCAGTATGGACGTTTGTTGCTGTCTTGGTTAACTTCCATACCCACTCTTCTTTCCAGGTTAAAGTAGTTACATTTTGACTTCAGTAAAACATACTACAAACTTTAAGTTGGAATGTTACTCTGAAGATTTACTGGCAGTACCAGCAAGCGGAGATTGCAGACACTGTTTCGTCTCAATCATCAGTGATCATAAGCTCAAAGCTGAACAGGTGACCAACTGGCCAATCCTCTCAGTAAGCCTAATCGCCTAATCGGCCAGACGACTGGCCATCTCAGGCAGTCAGGCTGGGAGTCCGGCCACAGGTCATGGACCCCGTCTCCGCGCCAGTGGTGTACCGCTGTCGCGGCTGTCGGCAGTGCCTGTTCAGCTCGGAGCAGACGGGCGCGCTCCAGACGCCCTCGTGCTGCCGCGGCGCCCGGGAGCTGCGCGGTCTCTCAGAGGAGCAGCTGCCCGGATGGGCCCTCCAGCAGGTTGAGGAGGCTGGATGGACGCGCGGCCGCCTCCTCTGCCCCGCGCCCGGCTGCGGGGCGAAACTGGGAACCTTTGACTTTATCAGTGGTGCGAGTTGTGACTGCAAGAACATGGTGTTGCCGTCCGTCCGTTTGGTGAGGTCACGGTTGGACGAGCTGACCCCCGCCCCCGGCTCAGTGCGACCAGCCATTGGCACAAGCGCCCCCGGAGACACGGCCGCTTCGTAACGGATGTCCTTTCTAGCTGCTGTTTCAGCCGGGCAACTGTAACACAACATGTGATTCAGACTTCAGAGTGTTTCGCGACAACTGTTATATTATTTGCTGTATTGGCATAATATTTACATGAAATACTCTGGCCTCTGGCTCCTACCGTCCTTCTGATGCAGCCTTGTGCGACTCTGGCGTCGGACTCACTCGCGCTGCATTATATCGCTCTACGCTCTGAGAGAGGCGCCGCCGCGACCGTGCCGCGCGCTCTGCTCAAACAACAGCAGAAGCAGCGGCTGGCAGCGACTCGAGCCTACTGCGCAACAAACCAGGCCACACAACAGTCACTTGACACGGGGCCGGCGGCTCGAGGCAGCCCCTCCAATCCGGAATATCACCACGACTCGCCGCGCGTCGGCATGGCACACCTTACCCGGCACCCAACAGACGGGGCCCGCACACAAACACAGAATGAGCAACACCAACGAGAGCACCATATTCCCGCTGTCCGCCCATTAACCGCTTAGAGCTCTACAACAGCGCCACATACACGACACTTGTGCCAACAAAATGCTCAAAACCTACGGTCACAGTTGCATAGCGTACGCTCTCACACAGATCATCGTTAGTATCCAAAGATCAGATGCAATGGGATTCTGTATAACACATGCAGCGGCCGCCATTGGCCGCGGACGCCGCTGCCGGCGCCATCAGTCGTCCAACCACTCTGTGGCCGCCAGATTCGGCTCCGGGCCGGGAATCGCGTCCCAGTGCGCCGGCCCGGCGCTGTGACCTCAGGCTAGAGCGGCACTCGCTGTAACCGTACACAGCGTGCCGTCTGGGCCGTGTGTGTGGGCACCCGGCGCCGCTACGTCTGGGTCCGCCCGGCCGCTCGTCACGGCCCTGGACCGGCGTCCAGCCGTCACGCCCTTACGTGGGCTGTTCGTAGTTGGCCTACAAACCCCACACTACCACGGCGTGGGTAGCATGTTCAGCTCGGCAGCGCTCTTACACGGGCTGTACGTAGTTGGCCGGGTAGAGGCCCACCTTGCCGTCCTTACGACCCTTGCACCAGCCCTGCTCGTCCTCGTCCTCCAGCTTCTCGAAGGCCTCGCCTGGGGAGGGAGGTGCGATCGGGTCAGTTTACACAAGACGATCAACAACGTGCAAACAGGTCACACCGCATCACGTAAGCGATAATCAGCGAGCCGTAACCCAAAATGTTGCATTCACCGATAGAGCTAAAAAGCACAACAAAACATTTTGTGCAATGTGCACGAGGTGCCTGAAAACAAGATAATGAAAACAAGAACTATACCCAGCATATCCCTCGCGCTGTATCGATTGCAGGATAGGATGAACAAAACAATCGAAAAATTATTAAAACAAAACTATTTCCCACGCCAGTAGTTCGCGATGGGCCCGGCCGATTGCCGATCCCGCCACCTACCGGCCTTGAAGGAAAGTTCATCTGCCTCCACGCCGTCGTAGTCGTAGAGTGCCCGCACCGGCACGCCCGGCTCGCCGTTATCCACCAGCTCCACGGTGTACTCGTCCCACTCCTCGTGACCGCCGTCCTCGTACCCGTGGCCGTTACTGGGGACAGGTCACCGACTAGGTCATGGATGTGCAGCGGTGGTCGAAAGTGGACGAGCGACGGGCGTCATCTATAGGTAAACTCCCGTCAGAATTAAACGCGAATATCTAAAGCTGAAGGTGGCAATACTTCGGGCTGTGACGAGAGAAAGCATAGACAAACATTGCAGCTTCGTAGACACGACGTTGGTCCGAATCGGTCAGAACCGATTCGGCCCTTCGAATCGGTTCTGATTAGAACCGATGTCTGAACCGTCCTTCAATAGACTCGTACCTGTGCTGTGAGCTGCGGTTCGGTGACACGTTATTGGACTGTTGTCCCGACGAGTGACCCGCCGCCGCCCCTCCCGGCTGCGCGGCCGGCGTCCGTTTCCGCGAGCCCGGCTTGGCGTCGGCGTCATACTCCTGCGAATGAGACCGATAACGGTGGTGAGGGGCCAGCGGTACCGACCGCCAAGACCGGCCCGCACAGGACGTGGCTAAAAGATATACACGGTCCGAAAGAGATATGTCGATAAATTTGCAACATGACAACCGTCACGGATATACGGGTTGCGTTAACACAATACACCTTTCGAAGATCAACAACATTATTAGTGATGGGTGATCCAAGCAACACCGCTAAACTTGCAAAAGGTATCAATGTATTATAATCAAGCGGTAAAAACATGCGATTGTTCAAACATGCATTGCACGTCATGCTTTCTGCCTCATTGGCAGCTTTCCTTACCGATTGCGCCTGAACGAACCCAGGCGAGCGTCTTAGCTCCACTGCCATCAGATAGTGAATCATTGAACCTTCAGGGTACTTACCGTCTTACGCTGTGACACCGCCTCGGTACCAACTTTGAATGTCCCATCACGTATAATCGAAAGTTGAGCTTTTTTACTTTAATGTCACCAGCTCTCCCATTTACGGTTTACGCAACCTTACAAGATGGCATGATGCCAATATCCTGACCGAGACACTGATGGTGAACCAAAGTGGTGAACGGATACATACGGGCAGGTCGTCGGTGACCAGTCGCTGGTTGATGAGAGTGATGGTACCGTCGGCGTCAGCAGGCCGACCGGCGCGCCGGCTGCGGCCCGCTATGTCGCGGAACTCCTCCGAATAGTCCTGCAACGGGGTCAGGCCAGAACTGAGAGCGGCGGCGGCCGGCTCACCAGCGCTTCCACATGCTCGACCCGACCCGACCCGCCCAGGGTACGGGTAACAGATGCAATCAGCGGCAGTCACAACTTAAAAACACGCACACAATCCGGGTGAGGAAAGCAGGCAGCTCACCGTTATAGGGTACACACGTGAAACTGAAATATCCCAAAATATAAACTAAAAACAGCCACAAACAAAACACGCGTTAAAAAAGCTCGTTAGCCAGGCATCACACTGCATTGGCCAAATCTAGCGGCATGCCTGCAGCCACTGCGCTGTAGCGACTGCGCCGGTACGGACCAAGTCATCTGGCACAGAACCTACCTCGAATGCCGGCCAGTTCATGGGCATGTTGACGCCGTGGTTGTTGCTCCACCAGCGCAGGTCCTTCTCCTTGTCGGCGTTGGCGATTGTGTGCTCGAACTCACGGTAGATCTGGGCCAACCTGTCGCAGGGAGTCGCAGGGACGTTAGAGACACATTTCGGTGGTGGCTGGGTCAGACTGTGTGACGAAATCAAAGAAAAGCATCTGTGTAGTGCCCAGTAGCGGCGGAACATCTTCAATTAAGGGGGGGGGGGCACTGCCGACTTTTGGTCCCATTCTTTCCATGCAACGCCCATAGGGCTAATGTAAAAATGCCAAAATCAAAGGGGGCACGGTACCCCGGTGCCCCCCCCCCCCCCCGCTCCGCCGCCTATGGTAGTGCCGTAACATTGATGATCTTCCCTTTTAGCCAATAACTTGCGACACAATATTCGCTCCGAGTTGATTTTCTACCATTGAACTTGTGAGAACATCGAAAAATGCATCAAAGATTAAACGAGAAACACGACACAGCAATTTGACCTATGGAGGCCATAATTGGTCAGAATGGCTGCCAGAAAATAGAGTATTCTACTGAGCGAGGACTGAAAAAAATCTTCTTTTTTTCGTAAAAACGTATACGTCAACTGTCAGCATCAGAACCGCTCCGATTCGGACATTTCCTAGCGTGATAACTCACATGGGATCACTGGCGATATTGAGACACTTATGTACGCCGAACAGGGTCTCCTTGAAGAATGTGAGCCGCTCGCCCTCGCGCTCCTGGCACTTGTTGAAGACGTACGTCATGTCCTCGATGTACTTGCTGTTCTGGTCTGAGATGTCTTTGAGGGCGTTGTCGTAGCGTTCCTTGGTTTTGGCCACTTCCTCTCCGGCCTTCTGTACCCTGTCAGCTAGCTTCTTCAGCTGAGGAAGCACGGGTGGGGTGGGAGGTGACTGTGAGCAGTCAGGGACAGGGAGCTGAGTGGCACATGCATTTATTTGCCTAAGCTCACAGTCAATTTATTGTAGTGCTGTTATGAATACGCGCACTCACCCTTGCAAATTGTACAGATATCTATCATCATCTGCAACGGGCGTCTAGCACGTACCGCATCTCCAGAGAGGCTCGGGTCGCTACTGGCGTTCTGTTTCTGATTCTGGGCGGTCCTCTCTGCCTTGCAGGCGGCATGATATTCAGCCTTGGCCTTGTTCACCTGTACAGGAGCAACGAGAGGTCAGGTCAGGACCACCACAACAAAACATTTATAACTAAATAGGCTTCAGGCCATGGGGAATGCGAATTAGATTTCATGTCCGTGCGCTATATAAATTCGTACATCCTACTTCTTACTCATGTGTTGCCAAATATGTAAAAGCAAAGTTTGATTCAGTGCCCGCGAGTGTGATAAGGTCAAGTGGCGTATGTGAGCTGTGTATCGCCGACTCATACCGGGCCTGACTCAACCTTCTGTACGCTCACACGCCGGTAACACCGGGCTGACCCTGAGTCCCGGCGGGGCGCTGGGAACTTGGCCAGGTGACCGTAAGATAGGAGCATGGCCTGACTGCGACAAGGTACCGCTGTCAGCACAGGGAGCTGGGTAGGTCGTTTTCGTAACGGGAGACTGCTTACAGCGGCCGTCCAATGCCGCCCTGGCAAACCAGGGAGCGCACGCAGTACTATATTCGCCTCTGATATCCAATGGTAAACAAACAGCGACACAGAACATATTGTAACGTAGTTGTGTTATTCGTCATATTCGCGCTGCGATCACTTACCTTGACAAGGAGTTTAGCCCACGGCTTTTGTGCTTTTCGGAATGCGTCATCAAACTCTTTCTTTTCCTTGAAGTGTATCATCGTCTGAAACACAAACACAAAACTTACATCAATACCCGTATCAATACTACGAATGCATTAAAAAACTCCGCTTGTTTCGTTTATTTTTATTCTTTTTTTTAGGTGATATCTCGACCTATTCATACATGCGTTTATCGATATCTATTATTTTATGCGATGTGAAGTAAACAAGATACATCGCACAAGCTACCATGATTCATATCGAAACCTTTAAAAAGAACACTATT